ACCATATGATTGATATAAAACCATTAATATAAAACCATATGATTTATATAAAACCATATGATTGATATAAAACCATTAATATAAAACCATATGATTGATATAAAACCATATGATTGATATAAAACCATTAATATAAAACCATTAATATAAAACCATATGATTGATATAAAACCATATGATTGATATAAAACCATATGATTGATATAAAACCATATGATTGATATAAAACCATATGATTGATATAAAACCATATGATTTATATAAAACCATATGATTCGATCCCTCACAGGCTCCCAGCCCAGATGTGTACAGAGGGAAATACCGAGCGGACCACCCTGATCCTGCCATGGCGTATGCAGAGGAAGTGAAGAACATACTCGACAACGTTCAGAAAAAGGGCCGCAAGGTACAGTTTGTGTCTGATAAAAGTGCTGACTCATCACTACTCTGTTTTAGTACCAACCAGAGAACAAGGCTCTCAGCTGAAAACTTGTTAAGAGTCGACCGTTTGAAAAACGATACATCCTGTCTCAGGTCCTGGTTCAGGTTTACGATTTTTATTTTCCTGTTTCTTAAAAATATGACCTTTAGCTACTTTTCATCTGCTGAAGATAACCCTCCAGTTTTTTAGCATTCACTGCATAACATGTCATGGAATAAAAATTAGAGTAAAACCAGTAAAAAAAGAGAGAGTTTAATGAGCTTTTAATTTGGAAGCTTACACAAAAGTCTGGCTCATTTTAAGACGAATATAAAAATAGATATCAAACACACTGCTTTTTGTTAAACCAACTAAAGAAGCTAATCTGACCTGCAGTAACACTAATCTGACCCAACCTTAGTGAAAAGTGAAATAACTATGTAGAGATTAAAAGGAGACTGTGGGACATTGTGTCTTTGTAGTTTATCAGTCTGCTTTTAGATTTATGGACCTGATATGTTGTTTTTTCTCCTGCAGGTTGCTGCTTTTATTGCTGAGTCATTGCAGAGTTGTGGCGGGCAGGTCATTCCCCCCGCGGGTTACTTCCAGCGTGTGGCTGAGTACGTATCAACACAGAAACACAACATCTGTGAGTCAGAATGAGTCCAGGCTGCAGAGGAATGACTTTGACATTATTAAAATAAAGTTGTTTTATCTATTTTGACCTAATTCTGTACGTACTCGATTATTTATATTTTCTCTGGTCTACAGGCACATTCGTAAAGCGGGAGGCGTCTTCATCGCTGATGAGGTGCAGGTGGGCTTCGGCCGCGTTGGCTCTCACTTCTGGGCCTTTCAGCTCCAGGGAGACGACTTCGTCCCCGACATCGTGACGATGGGGAAGCCCATCGGTAACGGCCACCCCATGTCCTGCGTGGTGACGAGCAGAGAGGTGGCCGAGGCCTTCACCTCCTCCGGCATGGAGTATTTCAACACAGTAAGAGAGAAGAGATTACCAGTGCAGCTTTAACATAGCGCTATTAGCAGTCTGTGAATGAACYTGTTTCCATAGCGCCCCCAAGAGGACAACAGATTGCATTACTGCAATACTTTTTGCATTCTCAGGGGTAATTGTGATGTTTTGTATTAACTGTACTGAATGAGACTTTTATTTTGAAACAGTGAAACAGCACAGCTAACCAAAAGGTTAGGTTCACTAACCACTAATCACACTAAGGAAGAATCTTCACTCCGCTAACACTAAACAGCTTTTTTTTTAAATTAGTGGAAGCTAACACTAAACCACTAAACAGATTTTAAACATTTGTGGAAGCTAATACTAAACCACTAAACAGATTTTAAATTTTTGTGGAAGTTTATACAAAACCACTAAACAGATTTAAAAAAAAGTGGAAGCTAATACTAAACCACAAACGTATTTTAAAAAATAGTGGAAGCTAACACTAAACCACTAAACACATTTAAAAAAATAGTGGAAGCTAATACTAAACCACTAAACATATTTTAAACATTAGTGGAAGCTAAAACTAAACAACTAAACATATTTTAAACATTAGTGGAAGCTAAAACTAAACCACTAAACTTATTTTAAATATTAGTGGAAGCTAAAACTAAACAACTAAACTTATTTTAAATATTAGTGGAAGCTAAAACTAAACAACTAAACTTATTTTAAATATTAGTGGAAGCTAAAACTAAACCACTAAACAGATTTTAAACATTAGTGGAAGCTAAAACTAAACCACTAAACAGATTTTAAAAAATTAGTGGAAGCTAATACTAAACCACTAAGCAGATTAAAAAATTAGTGGAATCTACTAAACCACTAAATAGGTTGCATGGGTGTTGTTACAGACATGTTGTGTTGTTACAGACATGTTGTGTTGTTACAGACGTGTTGTGTTGTTACAGACGTGTTGTGATGTTACAAACGTGTTGTGATGTTACAGACGTGTTGTGTTGTTACAGACGTGTTGTGTTGTTACAGACGTGTTGTGTTGTTACAGACGTGTTGTGTTGTTACAGACGTGTTGTGTTGTTACAGATGCTCAGTCAAAGGCTGACACACAGAACGGTCCAGCCCTCCCTTTTACAGACTATAAATAAGTTTCTTGAAAGGTTCTGTCCCAGTGTAACCCTTTCTCCGTGTTTTGGTTTCAGTTTGGCGGTAACCCCGTGTCGTGCGCCATCGGTCTGGCCGTCCTGGACGTGATCGAGAAGGAGGACCTGCAGGGGAACGCTCTGCGTGTGGGACGACACCTGACCCAGCTGCTGGAGAAGCAGAAGGAGAAACACCTGCTGATTGGAGACATCAGGTGAGCAAATGACCTGAACACACCTGTTCCTGAGCTGAAGGCTTCTGATTGGTTCAATACAGAAACAACCAGCAACATGAGTCACAATGAAGAACTCTTTGATACTGGATTATTATTTTCATATTTTTCATCTCAAAAGTACGGAACCCCTCTAGTGACATTGAATTTAAAAAATATATTAATGCATGGTCATGAGATCATAACCTATGACTTAATAACTTGTGGCCACAAGAAATTAATGTGTGGCCACAAAATATTTCTTGTCATTACTATGCAGAGGTAAGTTACTTGTTAACATAGACAAGTCCCTTAGCAAAAAGTAGTAAACGCAAGTATCCATTAAGTATACTAATTTTAAACTAAAAAAGCCAGTTTACTTTTTACGTACTTACCTAAGATATACTTAACCCAGTTTATTTTACAGTATACTTGGCTTGTACTTAAAGTTTAAGTATACTTAGTCTATACTAATCTTTAAACTTTTGGCCAAGATAAASTTTAGTAGTACACTGAAAGTACATTTTCACACAGCCTGGTTTATTTGTAGTATATTTCAAGATTAAACTAAAAGTATACTTTGAAAATTACTTTCAGTATACCTCTGAGTACACTTTCAGAAACTTATTGTAGGTCAATTTAGTCCTAGAAGTACACTTGTTAGTAAACTGCTCGTATACTTATATCAGTGTACATGATAAATAAAAGTACACTTAGGGAAATACACTTTTGTATACTTTAGTATACTTGAAATGTAGTGAAAGTATACTTCTTTTTGGTAAATTTCTAAAAAACATATCAGTGTACTTAAAGTATACTTTTTATTTAAAAACAATCTCAATTTAGTACGAACGAGAATTAAATCAGTATACTTTCTAGTACACTACAAGTATATGGTGCCTAGTATGCTTGATATATTTAACCTATACTCAAGTATACTTATTAAAATGAACTTTAGTATACTACTTTTTGCTAAGGGTTACATTATTTTATTTTAATCCATGAACGACATACTTCAGTCACTTACAGTTAGGCATGAAGTACTTCTTCTCATTATATGTTGCAGCTATAAGACACGTGACCACTGGAGTTGTATTTGTCAAAAAGCTTTATTTTTTAGAAGCTCAACACAGAACAGACTCMTCTCTCACACTGTGTCTTTGCTGCTGAAGGAGTCAGAGTTACGTTCAGGAGCTCAGTAAAAATAAACAACAAAAAAAAAATTCCCAACATGCTTCATTCAATGTTGAGGAAATTTATAGTTATTACAGATTAGTACTAATGGTAAAAGCACAACACTATATTTTTAGGTTTTCCTTTTCATAATGTTTAATCTATAATGTGTTGATTGATAAAGATAAGTTACATGTCCGAAATATCTATAACAACACATATTTATCCTTTATGAAAACATTAGGGGAGAATTGTGTATGAATGCCCGTGATTCAGCCGTAGGTCAGTAGGGGGCGAACGCGGGCGTTGAAGACTCTGTATAAATGGATCGATTTCCTGGTTGACCGGCAGTGTGTGGTTTCCTGTCAGCTCCGAATGGCATTAAATCCTCACTCCAGAATTCTGGTTTTGTACGGTTTTATCCCGTCTAACAATCATATTATTTAACWTTMYTGGTTTTCTAATGACTTCAGTCTTTGAACGCGAATATTTCTTACAGTTTAAATCATAGAGAAAAGAAAAATGAGCCGTTTGAGATGAATCATGGAGGCATAACTACTGGATGCCTCCAATAATA